GGGGGGGGGGTCTGCCTGCGGAGTTTGGGGGCGGCGAGGAAGAGCACCCCGAGGAGCCCGTGCTCCGTGAGCGTCCGCGCAGGCCCGCTCGAAGAGTTAAGGAGTTAAGGCTGGAAAGGGATGCGTCTTCACTTAAGGGATAAAAGTCAGCCTGAGAGTCTGGGATTCTTTGCAGGAAGCAAGGCAGTTTCTTGGACTTTAAGTCTCGCGGAAGTTCGGACTATCCCGGTTTGTTTTGGGGGCAACTTTTTGGCTTTGGGAGATTTCATCTGCCCGTTAAGTCGGGTGTTCTTGGCAACATTTTTGGGGCGACCTTGAGCGGGTCGCGGCTTATGCGGGACGAGGAGTTTGAAAGGACTCTTGGCTGGGAATGGCGCCCGATTCACAGCAGGGCGTTTGCTTTGTTTGATTTGAAGGAGGCTCGGGTCAGGACGGAGGGTCAGAGGATGGACTCCAATTTTGCGGCCGAAAAAAAACGGTCGTTCAACAAAGCCTACCGGGCCCGCGGCCTGTTCGCAAGCGGGCCGCAGGAGCGGAGGTGGGTCGGTGCCCAGCACGGCTCACACAAGCGGCGAGCGCTGGCGCGTTTCCTAACTCCCCTCTTCCCTCCCCGTCTAAACCTGTGACCGTGGGACACCCGAAACGGCGGTAAGTGTGACCTGGCTGCTAAGCTCCTCCCCCCTCCCCGTAGCCATGTGATCCTTGGATCGAACCCCGGGACGCGAATCGACTCCCAGGTAGGCCGATCCAAACTTGGCCAGCGTTCCTCGGCGATTTGCGTGCCGAGGATTACCCGCTTTACGCAAAACACCCTACAACCCATCATCCTGCCCCCTGTTTCCTTCTCCCGGCACGGCTTACACATGGGTTTCAGCTGTCCGACCAGATCGTCCTTCGACCACTTCAACAACTCCTTACGGTCACTGTTGATGGCGCAGAGGATAGGACTGCAGATCTTCCCGCAGTCCTCGATCGCCGGCACGTTCAGGTAATGGACGAGGACTATATCCGGGTTCTGCAGAGGGGAGGGGAGGAAAAAAAGGGTGGGAGGAAAAGCCGGCGTGGCGGAGGGGTGGGGAGGGGGCTCCTTGGTGGGGGAGGAAGAGGAGGAGGAGGAGGAGGAGGAAGAGGAGGAGGCAGCCTAGGCCTTGTTAGAAGAGAGAAGAATTGAATCCCGCTTTCCTTCCTGCTTCTTCGAGTGAGTTGAATCCGGCTCTCGGACGGAAACGGCGGCGGGTGGGAGGGGCGTAAACTGAGCCTTGGGTGACTCCCCAAAACGGACTTCGGAAGAAGAACTGGGGGAAACTATTAAAAAGACACCATCGGGTCAGGCTCCAAACCCAGAAGAACCTCGACGGTTCTCCCAAGTCAAGGGCTCCGTCGCTTCAAACCGGCAGACGGAGTCGTGCCGGATCGAAGACCGCGATGGACTCCGGGAACGATTAACGAACGACCGCGATGTAGTCCGGGTACTCCGGCAACTGTCCTCGGCCTCTTTCTCACACCGTTCGTATCTGGGCTGAGTTGGCTCTCCTTTCTTCTAAGGGATTCCCCTCCCTCCTCCTCCTCCTCCTCCTCTTCCTCACCTATCAGGAGCCGTGAGAAACGGGGGATACCCGAGCCTCGTTTTTTGGGGGGGATTTTGGGTCAATGAATTGATGGAATTTGGACGTTTTTCTCCCGCCGTCGTTCTAAATCACGATTATTTATTATCATAAATAATCTCCTAAATTTATCATTGGGCCGCTTAAAAAAAAAAGACTGGTGGACTTCAACTCCCAGAATTCTTCAGGTCAGCAGGGCTGGCTGGGGAATTCTGGGAGTTGAAGTCCACAAGTCTTCAAAGATGCCAGGATTGGACACTTATGGCTGGCTGGGGAATTCTGGGAGT